ATCATACCGCGCAGCAGACATATCTTTTTGACGCACTTACCAGCTAAAGCAACCCTACACACAACGGTCATTGGCCGTCGCACTCACACAGCACTAGCACACCAACGCTGCACATACCAGATAACTGTACCTACACGCGCAGATGTTTCAGACGCAGTATATATCGTCAGCACAGGCGATGTCTCACTTCACACGCACACACATGTCGCAACGTTTGCCAAAGTAGACAGTCGTCTTGGACGGTTGATGCCCTAAATCCTGCATCGGTTTAAACTGTTTAAACTTCCCCACGGCTCCCCTACTACCCCCAATTTTAATATTGCACTGACACAGAGTCTAGAAAAAGCGTTTGGGCGAATGCCCAAAATCCTGCATGACCCCAGGGTGACGCAACATTGAAATTCAGGGGCTGCGGGGAAGTGGACAGCGCGACATCACATATGTGTGATGCTGTAGGTCATGCAGGATTTTGGGCATCAACAGTAGTTCTAAGCAACATTATGAGTATTTACGTTTCTTTATTTCCCAGTCCTTGACTTGGTTGTTCCGGTTGAACCGGTCGTGCAAGCCGATGGCATCCTCTCATGTGCGACTTGGCTTGGGGCCATAGGACTTTTCTGTAACCGCAAACTCTACGAAAGAGTAGGTTATGACCCTTTTTTTGTCCGGTATATAACCCTTAACCTAAACCCTCAGCCCTAAACGTCACTAAACCCTAAACCCTTATACCGTAGGGTATATAACCTCTTCCTTAAACCAAAATCCCGAAACCCGTATATCGTAGGGTATATAACCTCTAAGCCAAGAGGCTCATGGATTTTTAGGTGCGTCTTAGGATTGGAGTTCAGGGCCGCTTTAAATCTAAAGGCCCGAGGATGGCTGGGTTCAGGGTTGAAGCTTTAGGGTTTAGGGGTTAGGGTTTAGGGGTTTAGGGTTTTGGGTTGGGGGTTAAGGGGTATAGGGTTTAGGGATTAGGGTTTAGGGGCTTAGAGGTTTAGGCTCTAGGGGTTTAGGCTTTAGGGTTGATTACCTTAACCCTGAAAAACCGTAGTCCTTACAAAGGTAGGTTATTCGGGGTTAACGTAGGGTTTAGGGCCTAAGGTTTAGGGAATAGTGTTTAGGGTTTAGGGCTTCCGGGCTTGGAGAATTAGGATTTCAGAGGCCTTAGCTCTGGCGTTCTATGGGGTTTGGGGGGTACTGGCTTTGGTCTCCAGTGCTTTTGGCTTTGAATTTACGGCTTTCTAGGATTTTGGTTGAAGGGTCTGGCGATGCAGGATTCCTCGTTCATTGCACGAACTGTGGAGTCAAGCTCTCCACTTGTTCAGCTCTCGGGTGCTCCAATCATGAAGACCCCTCTAAAGCCGCAAAGCCCCGAACCCAATGCTCACACAAGATCGAAGGCTATCCTATCCTCTTCACATCCGAAGTTGCATCAGAGCTCAATTTGATTCCAAGGGATCATCTGCGTCCTGCCATCTTCTTCACAGACTCATCGGACCTAAGGCAGTTTACCGAGTCCTTGATAAGGCCGCCTGTCTTTGGAGACCGGTCCACAAGGTCTTTACACAGCACGTCGCCATCTTCGTCTCGCTCGAACAGCCCGCTCGTGACAAAGATCTCGTGCCCAACTGGCCCAAGAGCTGTGCGAAGCAGCTTCGACCACATCTGTGACCCAAACCTCACTCCCGTCGTTTGAAAAGATTGGGAGGAAGGCACTTACCACCTCTAGCGGCTTGAGGACCGTCCGGATGTTGACAACTTGCCACTCCTCTCGTGTCACCCGAACGCGATGGACCATTCTCCGTAAGTCCGCTGTGAACAGAGCAACAAATTCGCTTGCAGGCCGAAGTTGCAACTCCCAGGTGAGAAGAGCTTGACAAACATGCTGTGAGCGGTATTTTAACAACCTCTATAACGCAAAAAGTAATTACATTGCCTAACTTTAGGGACTTCAGGGCTTCGGGCTGAAGGCTTTGAAACCTTTCGGTTTGTTCAGGGCCAAGGATCGCCAAAACAACGAAAGCCCTTGAGAAGGGAAGAAACTATCGTTTGGGGCTTCTGGCTACGGGGTCCCGTGCTACAAGCCCCTTGGACCATGCCGAAAACTGCGTTGTTTTGAGAAACCCTGGGTTCATACCACCAACATGAAAAAGACTCCTCAGGAACACCCGTTGAGGAGTCTGAGTAGAAACACCCTAAACTCTAAACCGTAAACCCTACTTTTCATGGGTTTCGTTTAACCCCGATACTGCTGGGTACAAGCCCAGACCTCAAAATCCCCAAGCCCCTGGGGCACCCGAACTCGAAGTCCTCCTGGGTGGGTCCTCAAAACTCGGATACTCCAAACCCTAAACCTCTTCACCTTAAACCTCCAAACTTTAGACACTAAACACTGAACCCTGAAGCACGAAACCCTCCCAACCCTAAACCTCTCAACCCTAAACCCTACACCTCCGAACCCCAACCCCTGAAGCCCGAGCCCTCGATCCCAAAGCATTCCGCCCCTCTTAAGCGGGGCCTCCATGAGCATGGAACCGCCACAGCCGATTCCGACTGGCCACGCGGCCTCGTAGATGTGTATGCTATCCGGGCTGTAAGGCTTCAGTGAGTGAGGGAGTGAGTGAGTGAGTCGTTGAGTGAGCGAAATTGTGAGTGCATGCTCCTGTGTTTGTGTTGTGTGTTGTGTGTTGTGTGTAGGAGTCTATGTGTGTGTATGTATGTGTGTCATTGAGACGCAGAGAGAGAGAGAGAGAGAGAGAGAGAGAGAGAGAGAGAGAGTGCATGCATGCATGAGTGAGTGAACGAATGAGTGAGCAAGGAACTAAGCATGCAAGTGAGTGAGTCAGTATGTAAGTGCGTTACAGGAGGTAGGTAGGTAGGTCGGTAGGTATGTAGGTAAGCCAAACAGATGAACGCAGCGGTCGAACTTCCTAGAGTAGAAACCAAGAGATTACAGCGCGGATCAGGGATGAGTTATGCTGAGGCTCCTGTACCTTCAGGGTATGAGGAATGTGAGGCTCGAAGCTCCAACTTTCTGATGTTCACCCTAACAGCATGCATCCATGCAACCTTGTATGACTTGTATGTATCAATGTTCTTGCGTAGAGGCATGCGCACCTTTCATGTAAAGCAGTGCAGGCGTGCTTGGTGGGACTGAGCTCAAAGCGCATCTTGCAGAAGCAAGTCAGCATCTTTCACCCCAATACCCCTTAATTAATTGAGGAAGTTGGCTTAAATTGTATAGGGCTTCATATTATGATTTAAGCTATATTCGGGGTATTGGGCTCTCTGGGAAGTTATCAAGTCCTTCCTGGGAGGCGGGCCAGGGACTTAGTAACTAGGGGTATAACTCAGGTAACTATACTTACAGTTACCTTGAACCCCTTATAACCTTAAAGGGAACTCCAGAAAGTTGGAATATGGACTAATGGCAGGATCCCCTATAATTTACTTTAAAGGGGTTACGATAATGATATTCCAGCTTTCTGGCTTCTACTGTACTTGGTAAGTCCCATGCTCCTCCAAGTTCTGTTCATGAGATCTTTTTGGAGGGCCTGGGCCGAAACCCTCTCGCGCCTGCCAACCTCCGAGGTTGAGGCTCACGGCTTACAGCCCAAATGAAGCCTAGCCCCTGTCACCCCTACTAACCCCAAAAACTCCAACCCCAAAAACCCTGAACCTCCTAAACCCTGCAAACCCTACCTAGACCCTCCATCTACCCTCTCTTAAACCCTAAATGCCCATAGTTGGGGCCATATACCCCTTATTTGAGGGTACAAGGACTGTCCTGGTAGATTCCAAACCCACAACTATTGAACCCTCACCCCAAAGGTCCTGTCCCATGTTCGGGCCCTGGCCTTACCAATCGTCAGGTCCAGGTATGCTTCGGCGGCCTCACGATACCTCGCAGGTGTTAAGGGCTTGGGGTGAAAAGATCGACTTCGGCTTGGGCTCCAACTCCAAACCTCGAGACCTAACCGTAAGACCCCATTTAGGGAATGGGTGCCCCGCAATTAGGCCTCTCTTGGGAGGTGCAAGCAGGGTCTGCCAGATCGTTAATGGAAGGGCAAGGGCTTTCGGGTTCAGAGCCGAATAGTGCGTCCGCCGTGTCTGGCCATTTAAGAGGCCTTAATAATCAGAAATAGGGTTTTGGGGTGTAATCAACTAGAAATAAAAGGAACCCTAAGGAATAATTTGGGTAATTAGTATGAGTGCGACTATTAGTATTCTTAGTATTCTTTAGGCTTCTATAGTAGCTTGTTGCCGCTTTCGATGACTCGTTTGGTTTTAGGGTTTAGGTGTTAAGGTTTATGCTTTTAGGCTTCAGAGTTGAGGGTTTAGGTTTTAGGGTTTTAAAGTCAGTTTAGAGTTTTGGGGAAAGGGTTTGGGTATAGCAGTCCCGGGTCTTCCTGGATTGGCTGATGCTGTATGGAGAGGTTGTTAATAAGCGCCAACAATGCTTGGGCTATGCACCGGGATGGGGATGGCTCCGATGCTGGACCTGCATCTGGGTCGGTGTCTATCTTTTTAGTAACGGCTAAACCCTGAAACCTTGCCCAACCAATCCCAAACTTCATGCCCCCCCTATACAAGCCGATAACACCCTTTACAACTCTGTTGACCCGTAAAGCGTAACCCCTCGTCCAGTCTCTCTCTTGGGCCCCTGCTCACGGTCATCGGCCTTCTTCACGATGTTGTAGATCTTCTCAAGAAGCCACTCCTTGACTCCGCTTAAGGGCTCCGTATATGATTTCCTTATACAATTCCTTAAAACACGCAGGTTTTTTTGCTCCTCAGGGTGTGGGGCTTCAGTTGTTTTCAGGCTCGGCTTTCTGGTCAGGGTCTCAGGGGTTTAGGGCTTTGGTGCGTCTGGGGTTTTGAGTGTCGAGGTTTGAGGCTTTCCACGACTTCGTAGGGGCATCGAGATGGCTTAAGACGTCTTATGTGTTGCAGCTGCGAACTCTATGCCTTGGAGAATTTGGGGCAAGCTTGGGCCCAACCCCGTTCCAGTCCTCCATGCGATACATTCGCAAGCGCTTTTGGAGAGGTCGCACATCTCGGCGTACTTGGCGATGTGCCGCGACTGCCTGCAAACATGCTAACTGCTACATACCGCCACAAAGTATTATGAATATCACATTCAAGCTGCCCACACTGTAGATCCACACATGGAACTCGACCATGGAAGCAATACTAGGTCAGCCATTTCCATCCTCCTCAAAATATTGGACCCAACATGCGCAAACTTACACAGAGAGCCCGGTGCCCCTTGCATCTGTGTAACTTTGGCTATTTTGCTCTCCGAATACCTTCTTCACCACACCGTCTGGATGCGGTTTCGAAGCCTTGCGGTGGCCATAAGCAGATTTGTTCCAATCAAGTTTCAACCCCCAACATCCCGAAACGCTAAACCCTAAAACCCTCTATAAGCCCTAAACCCTCAAACTCTAACATCCCCTAAACGCTAGACGGGGCCCGGCCGTCTTGGTGGAGGGCTTCTTCTTTTCCTCATCAGGGAGGTCTGCCAGCTCCTTGCCAAGAGCGTGTTCGGGTTATGGCATAATCACAAGTTCGAAGCTTCCGGTTGTCCCTAGGTACGCACACATGAACATACATATAAATGATAGTGAGACATATGTATACCTACATGTGCATATATATATATATATATATTTATTTATATATTTATATATTTATATATATATATATATATATGTAGACATGTGCATAATACAAATGAATATAACACACACATGTGTTTATACATTTATATATATACACATATATTTCTATGTACAAATATGTATGCATGTATGCATGTATATGGCCACATACACATATCTACACGTGCACACGCATGTATGTACACATATATGTATGTGTGTGTGTCACTGTATCTATGTACAGGTATGTAGGTATGTAAGCATGCATGCGTGCATGTATAGGTATGTGAGTGTATGTATGCATGTATGTAATCATATATACATAAGGACGTAGGCACACATGTACGTGTTTTTGCCTGCCTGCATGCATGTATGTATGTATGTCAGCCTACTGATGTGAGTTTGTACAGATAGACATACAAATGTGTGTGTGCACCCGTGTACCTATATATATATATGTGTACACATGTAGATTTATATGTATGTATTTATATATACACATACATGTAGATATGTCAGTATACACACACATATGTTTGCAGACATACATGCATACAAGCATTCATGCATACTTACATGCTTACACACATGTGATGAGTTTGCTTGTTTAAAGGGGGGCGGTGGGTGGGGGGTGAAGGTTTGAGGGCTTTGTTTACGGTTGGGTCTGTAGTTTCATAGGGTCGCTGTCCTAGACTTGTTAAAAACCCTAAACCACGCGCAAACCATGTAAATCCTGTATATATAGACATACATATATATATATACATATATATATATATATATTTCTGTGTCCAAACCCCAAACTCCGAAACTCAAAAACCCTCAAAGTCCCAAAAACCAGGCTTATGGTTAAGGGTTCTATAGGGTCTGGGGTTTAGGGTTCGAGTAAGGGTTCAAGTTCAGTAGATGGTCCAATCAGCAACAAGATCAGTACTCATGAACTCTGGACAACAGACATGGCCCGGAAAAAGAACAGTCCATGACACGCTCGCCCATTCTAGTCACCCTTCCTTGTGCCAATTGTCATATGCAGTGCGACCCTGTTTCTTTAAGATCGGCTGGAGTGTCAGCACGACAGTCGAGAAGCTTGGAGGGAATGCGTCAGATTCGTCGCCGGTCTTTGCAGTCACATCGGGTTGGGGTGCATCCGCTGTCCCAAGCTCAGGCCAAGTGCTTCTCGGCAATTCTGAGAATCTGGAGTAGCTGCAGCTGCCCTCTCATAACTATACGCAGACGTTTCATCTTCTCGTTCACATCGATGTGCTTGACGGCTCCTTCAGGGACACCAGCCATTGGCGTCCGCAGGATGTGGGATTCATGCGCATTTCACGCACCCAGCATCTTAGCACTCGTATGTAATAGCACTAGTGGAACAAGTAGCAGTAGGAGAAATAGCAGTAGTAGTAGTAGTAGTAGTAGTAGTAGCAGCAATAGTAGTGGTGGTACTAGTACTCGGTTCCAGAGAGCAAAACTAGCTGACTAGCAAGGGACGAACCAGGATAGTGATGATTCTGACAAGTGTAGCAAAGCACCACCAAATATGTAACCCAAGTACTACTAAGACGCGAACGTAGACTGTGAGGTATGACCGTTAATCATGCACCCCCCTAAACCCTGAACCCTAAGAGGCCCTAGACCAGAACACTGACCATCCACCCAGAACCTTTTACGCATGCATGTGCCGGCCTGTAGAGCCCTCTTAGAACACCCGCAGAACCCTCATGAAACCCCTTACCAAACCCTAAACCCTAAACCCTAAACCCTCGTAGAACCCTCGTAGAACCAACATAGCGACTGAAAGATGCTCACTGGCCCAAAACCCAAGGGAATAAAAGTTGAAACTTTCAGAATCGACTACCCTATAAGAACCCCAAAAGTTGAAAAAGTTGAGAGTTTACAGCCAATAAAGATGTCAAAAACAGTCCTTCTCCCAGGCTTTGAGTGACTTTCGAACCTGGGCTTCGGCATCGCGTTGGCTTAGGGTGTAGTGTGCAGGGCTTCGGGTCTAGGTTCATTGGGTTTAGGGTATAGTCTCGCCGCGCAGCGGCAGTATTTTCTATGTAGGATGGCGCCCCAACACTCCCAGGGGTGTGGGGGGGCGGCATATCAACGTCTAGCGTTCGAATGCGATTCCACCACCAAACAATTACACATTGGTTCCTGACCTTTTCCCACCCACTGTGAGAATACACAGGCTACCACCCAAAATATTGCCTTTTAGGGTTTAGGGCTTACGCCCTCAATTCCCACCTGCGCCTGGTCTGTCTGTTGGGGCCAGGAGCCGCACCCAAAACAGAGCGTCCAGAGCCAGGGGCCAGGAGAGGCCAGGGGCGCCAGGAAGGGCCAAACAAACCCGTCAGGAGCCCCCCGAGTTTAGAGTTTAGGGTTTAGGGTCTTTGGGTTTAGAGTTTAGGGTCTTTGGGTTTAGAGTTTAGGGTCTTTGGGTTTAGAGTTTAGGGTTTAGGGTCTTTGGGTTTAGAGTTTAGGGTCTTTGGGTTTAGAGTTTAGGGTCTTTGGGTTTAGAGTTTAGGGTTTAGGGTCTTTGGGTTTAGAGTTTAGGGTTCAGGGTCTTTGGGTTTAGAGTTTAGGGTCTTTGGGTTTAGAGTTTAGGGTCTTTGGGTTTAGAGTTTAGAGTTTAGGGCCTTTGGGTTTAGAGTTCAGGGTCTTTGGGTTTAGAGTTTAGGGTTTAGGGTCTTTGGGTTTAGAGTTTAGGGTCTTTGGGTTTAGAGTTTAGGGTTTAGGGTCTTTGCGTTTAGAGTTTAGGGTTTAGGGTCTTTGGGTTTAGAGTTTAGGGTCTTTGGGTTTACAGTTTAGGGTCTTTGGGTTTAGAGTTTAGGTTTAGGGTCTTTGGGTTTAGAGTTTAGGGTCTTTGGGTTTAGAGTTTAGGATCTTTGGGTTTAGAGTTTAGGGTTTAGGGTCTTTGGGTTTAGAGTTTAGGGTCTTTGGGTTTAGAGTTTAGGGTCTTTGGGTTTAGAGTTTAGGGTTTAGGGTCTTTGGGTTTAGAGTTTAGGGTTTTTGGGTTTAGAGTTTAGGGTCTTTGGGTTTAGAGTTTAGGGTTTAGGGTCTTTGGGTTTAGAGTTTAGGGTTTAGAGGTCTTTGGGTTTAGAGTTTAGGGTCTTTGGGTTTAGAGTTTAGGGTTTAGGGTCTTTGGGTTTAGAGTTTAGGGTCTTTGGGTTTAGAGTTTAGGGTCTTTGGGTTTAGAGTTTAGGGTTTAGGGTCTTTGGGTTTAGAGTTTAGGGTTTTGGGTTTAGAGTTTAGGGTCTTTGGGTTTAGAGTTTAGGGTTTAGGGTCTTTGGGTTTAGAGTTTAGGGTTTAGGGTCTTTGGGTTTAGAGTTTAGGGTTTAGGGTCTTTGGGTTTAGAGTTTCAGGGTCTTTGGGTTTAGAGTTTAGGGTTTAGGGTCTTTGGGTTTAGAGTTTAGGGTTCAGGGTCCTTGGGTTTAGAGTTTAGGGTTTAGGGTCTTTGGGTTTAGAGTTTAGGGTCTTTGGGTTTAGAGTTTAGGGTTTAGGGTCTTTGGGTTTAGAGTTTAGGGTTTAGGGTCTTTGGGTTTAGAGCTTAGAGTTTAGGGTCTTTGGGTTTACAGTTTAGGGTCTTTGGGTTTAGAGTTTAGAGTTTAGGGTCTTTGGGTTTAGAGTTTAGGGTCTTTGGGTTTAGAGTTTAGGGTTTAGGGTCTTTGGGTTTAGAGTTTAGGGTCTTTGGGTTTAGAGTTTAGGGTTTAGGGTCTTTGGGTTGAGAGTTTAGGGTTCAGGGTCTTTGGGTTTAGAGTTTGCGTGAATGTCAAGACTGTCGGGGTTGTCGCTCGTAGTTTGATCGGATTTGCTGGAGGACTTTGAAACTCTGGTGCTGTGGGTGGTTTAGGTTTAGGTTTTGAAGGTTTCAAGCGGTTTCGGGGTGCAAAGGTATGAGTTCCATGGAATATGACTGCATGCCATACTACACCCTGAGCGTGCTAGCATGTGGAATGTGAAATCGGGCCATACTGCTTGTGGATAATAACATGCACTGCTGAAGGAACTGATGCATAAACCTTTGCAGGAAAAGTGCGCGGTTTGTCGAACAGCAGATGGCATGGGCCTCCCCTTCCAGCTCCGTTTGTGCAGCCGAAACTGGCAGTGAGAGCAATAATTCTTCAGCTCAGAAGCGGATGGGGCAGGCTAATACAGAGGCCTTCGGAGTTAGATGAGGGGGTTGGAGTACATCATCGTATGAGATCGTATAGTCATATAGTACGGAGCCCTGAGGAGTACCATTGCTAATTATTCAGGATTCTGTAGTATACGGATTCACCCGAGTCTGACTCCAGCAACAAGCTCATAACCTTGCAGCCGACTCAAAACAACAGAAAAAGAACCGCGGCAGACACCTTAAAAATCTAGTCTGCTTATTTCTTCAAGATGGCAAACCCTGCAAAACTGCATGACAATCTATACAGTCCCTGCGAGAAGCAAATGGCTGCTGGCTAGAGTAGAAAGCAACCCTTGCACACACCACCGATGAAGACAACAGAAATCCTTCTGCAAAACCCATCAAGCTCTCTGTCGAAACTCACACTTTGCATAAATCCTTACTGTATTACCAAGCCTTACGAATCACCACAACACAAACATCATATCATTCGTGACACCATGTAACAATACAGCTACTGGAAATTGACATAAGATTGATGAAAACTCAACTTCAACAACTTCAACACTCATTGCACGTTTTACTAAGACTAAGTCACAGTTGAAGTCATAAACATCATGGCTACTTTGAATAGCCATAAACATCATGGCTGCTTTGAATAGCCATAAGCATCATGGATACTTTGAAGAGCCATGCATTCACACGCACACGAACACCGAGGAGAAGACCCAGCTGCGGATCATGTCACACTGATCCATGGTGCCGAGGTCGACCTGACAGACTAGGGTTTAGAGTTTAGGGGGCTTTTTGTGGAGCTTTCGGTTTAGAGTTTTGGATTTTCCGTGGAGGTTTCGGTTCGTGTCCTCAGGGCGTAGGGGTATAGGCGGTATAGAGATTAAGTCTCTAGTTTTGGGCTTCGGGTTGACGCTTATGTTTTATGTTGCTATTGGGTCTTGAGTGTTTGTGCTAGGCTGCGCTCTATGTACAGTGTTACATGCTCTCTGGAGGCATATCCGTCGGTGTCCGAGGTATAACCACACTAATCGCACATTAAGCTGTGCCTAAATGGATAATAAGCGCAGTCTCCTCCAATATAACTAATAACTATTGACAACCCGATACCTGGTCGGCCTGACAAACGGTGAGCCTGAACAACTACTGCCGCACTGCCTGTGGCCTCTCGTTACACCGCGAACCAGCAGAACAGAGAAAACGGAAGGACGACCTACCATGATTGATCAGATCCACACTTGCGCGTTAGCTTCAAAGCTGAGGTAGGAGATGCTGGGCATAAGCAGTCTCCATCTCGATCCCTGCCTGCCGCGCGGCGACTACACAATCGTTACAGCAAGACTAAAACCTTGCCTGACGACCCACTCCTCAAATCTTAAACAGCGGACACATGAAGCTCAGAAGACACAGGTCTGGATAACAAGCGTCTGGAATTCTTGTCCTGTTTCGCACGGGTTGGGATGCAGGGCGTGCTGTAAGGGTTTCAGGGTTTCGGTTTTGGGTTTTCTGGCTTTGACCGAAGCCAGTGTAGAACCCTGATAAGCCCCTTATAGAAGCCCGTAATACCCCACAGGCGCCACAATTAACGGCGTCATAGAACCCTCGTACTACCCTTTACTGCTACCCGTTTGATCCCTAACCCTAAACCCCATCCCTCTCTCCGGGCTCCTCCCACCTCCGGGACTTCCACGGCCTCTTCTTTTGGCTTATCCTTCGGCGCCTCTGCAGAAGCAAGGGCCGAGCATGCTAGGATTCACCATAAGCCATAAGCTGCCATGACCGGCTTTTTGTAAGATGACTGCAGAAAGCCTACATCTTGGTAGGTCATGCTTATAATATCCCCTCATGGCCAAGAGATTTTGTATTGCAACTACTAGCATACGGCGACTCTGGGCATCAAGGTTCTAACTTGGAGGGCAGGGGGGAATTAGTAAACAGTCATCCCACGAACCCCTAAAAGCTACAGGCCTTAACCATTGGACCCTGGGCCCTAAACTCCAAGCCGCTTTTAGCCCTATGCCCTAAACGCCCTACACCAACGCCCATTGCCTCGCCACCCTCTCCTTCTTTTTTAGCTGCGCCGTCCTCAAACTCAAACTCTTCTCAGGGGCGCTTTACGGGGTTTAGGGTCGGGGGTTCATAGTTAAAGGGTTGACGGTTTAGGGTGGGTCTGCAGGGTTTAACAATTTAATAGGGTTTATGGCTAATGGTTATTGGGGTCTCGGTTTGCTTGGGGCTTGGGGCTTAGGGCCTACGGTTCTGGAGCTCAGTTTAAAAAGACTGTCTTTTTGGAACTGCATACTGCTTTTTTAGAAGCCTGACAGGTCAGACCAGTCGGCCTGAGCCGTCGCTCCAGTACAGGGGTCGGAAGAATTAGAAGAGGGTTTTGGGCTTTGTGGGTATATTAGAGTATTACCGAAGCCTCAGGACTGGTGTTGGTAGTTCTTCAGGCTTTCACATTGACCAGCCAGAGTTGCTACTCAAGCAGTCGAACGCAGTGTCAGGATTCATTGCAACTCAGCGGAAGCGATGTGAAGAGGGAAGCGGTCAGTGACAATAGCACCAATGCAGTCACACCCGGACACAACATCCACACATTCACACCTTTTCCAAGCCCGACGCCCTGTTGCTAAGTTGTGGCAACCATGCGGCAGAACGAGACTAACTAATATTGGGCCTGAATGGGGGTATACTATACTGTAATGATAATACGGACCCCCCCCAAAAAAAGTATAGGAAATTATTCAAGCCCCTAAAATACGGCTTCAGCATGGGTTTCTGCTTGAGGGCACGTTGAAGACCCGGACTTTAGGACTCACCCCTTAAACCCTAAACCCTATGTAGAGCCACCAATTGCCCTTCATTATACCCTAAATGGATGAAGGCCTTTAACCCTAAACCCTCTGTTAACCCTCCATAATATGCCCTACATGTCTTGAGGACTATAAGGCTTCGGCTAAAGGCCATATACTTGGGGGTCCTGGTAAACCCTAAACCCATGCATTAACACTTGGACAAAGCACTGAATTTGCATAGTTCAGAAGAGTGAAGCAACTAAGACTTGGTCCAATGAGCAACTTTCAGAAGATCCAGAGTTCAAGGTCTAAAGGGAACTCCAGAAAGTTGGAATATGGTTTCAGGGTAGGATACCCTATAATTTACCATAAAGGGTTTAGGATAACCATATTTCAACTTTCTGGCTTTTACTATAAGGTTTAGTGTCATGCTTGGGTTCCGGGGAACGTGGTCATGTGTTTGGGGTCGTTTGCTCTCAAGAGAAGGTTCTACAAAACCGCACTTCTCACCAGGAACATTCCAGTTAGCCCTACATGCTTACAACATGCCTGGAGGAATGAAACATCTATCCCATGCGAGCCCTTATCCATCCCCAATCCAAGCAGAGTTTGATGGAGGCTAACAAGTTCATAGACAGCCGACAGGTACTCACCACCACACGCCCGAGTGTGCCCACACATATTCAACTATCTTGACCTTCCAAGATTTAGCTGTTGCAATGAGTGATATGCAGCAGCAATCATGCGACTACACCAGCTTTTGATGAACGCTGCTCCAGCTGCTCCCCAAACCTGCAAGTCACGCATTTACATGGTGCCTGTGGCGAGAAGCCGGCGCCACTCTACGTCGCGATACGTCGTGACGGACGGCATGCCATCCAAGCATTTCTCGACCTGGCCTGTGATGATACACGGCCTGACCGCCGTGCGATCTGCTGACAGAAATTTAGGAAAATACCTGAAGTTACAGTATCCTCAGTAGGAACCCTTACGGTCTATTTCTTAACTAAGGGGTTGTGGAATCTCTAGGTAGTTTAGAAGCAGCATGGCTTCTGGGGTTGAACGGGGGTCGTATGCTGTGGAAGTATGTTTTCGTAAAAGGCTTCCTAAGTAGGGTTAGAACTTAGGGTTCGACATAAGGCAGCTACGTAAGTGGACTAGAGTGTGGAAAAGAAACTCATAACCGCCACAGCCCAAAGGCAATAGCTAAAGCAGCACGAGCCGTACCGAACAGGGTCCTTCTCGTCGCCAGTGAGATCATCCTCGCAACGGAGGTCGAAGATCTAGTTCTGGATAAGGCTATGCTGAAAAGTAGGCTCGATGCACAAATAGCCTAAGCTATGGGTTCACGACTTAGCTTTTCAGTATGTGCTGTCCAGGTACACCCTAAACGGCACTAGGTCAGCTTCGTGCCGAACATGCTCTGGTTTGATGAGCACTTTTGTTGGTTCCGAGCTATGCAGAGCAAGTGGGCAGGAAGGAAACGATTTAGGGTCCATGGTTTCATTGTCTTTGGTTTCTGCGAGGGGTTTAAGCGTAACAACTTAGTCTGCATACGTCCTTGGAACAACGTTGCACAGAAAGAGTCTAAATTGCTTCAAGACTGAGGTTTTAGGCCTGAGTACGGTAGTCTACAGGATCGTAAACAGAAAAGAATCCTAGGATCGCTGGTATCAGAACCCCCAGACTGAGGGCCGGTAATGGGGCCGCAACACTTAGAAGCGGGATTTAGGGTATCCTACACTACAACTCATGTCAAAGAACCAGTGAAGTCTAGAGCTGGCAAAAGTCAGTAGAGAAGGCGTGTCAGACGTACTGCGGGGCTCAATAGAAGCCCACCCCAGGCTGCATGAAACATGCAGCTGTGATATTACGACACCGACGGAAAATATTGCTGAACAACCTGGTGTTATTCTCGCGTCCTGTCCGCTTTCCTTCTCACTGTCTTTCTCGCTGTCCTTCTCCTGCATCAGCCGGACCGAAGAACATCTGAAAACCAAACCCTCACCAGGGTTGACCAAAACCCAGAACCCTAAAACCCTGAAACCTTGAACCCGGAAGCCGTAGACCCTTAAGAACCCCTCAGCCGGAACCCCAAAATCCTGCACCCGAAACCAAGAGCTCTGTGTTTACTTCTGCATCAATCCTAAACCGTTTAGCCTACACCGCTAAGCCCCGAAACCCTAAACCCCTCAATCCCTAAACCCTAAACCCCTAAAACCCTAGGCCCCTGGACCCCTAAACGTAATCCTTAAACTTATGTAGACCCTGAGTCCCCAAACTTAAACCCCTAAACCATCTTGGGGGGGCCGCGGGGGCCTCCTCGCTTTCGGAGGCCTCGCTCTTCTCATCTTCCTCCTCCCCCTCCTGTTTGGGGTTCAAGGCTTTGGGGTTTTGGGGTTTTGAAGGGTTTCATGGTTTAGGCTTTTAAGGGTGTAATGGTTCAAGGCTTTGGGGTTTAGGGTTTTTAAGCGGTTTAATGGTTTAGGTTTTTAAGGGTTTAGTGGTTTAGGGCTTCAGGGTTTCAAGGGCTTTAAGGGTTTTAGGGTTTAAGGGTTTTACGGGTTCAGTATTTGAGGGGGTGCTTTGGAGTTCCTTGCAAAGGCAGGGTTTTACAGGCAATCCCTGCACCTTGATTCTTAAAGTCCTCCGAAGACCCTCTCAAAGCCCAGTTTCGTATTCAGTGTGTCAATGCTCCCGTAACCCTGAACCCTATACCCAGTAAGTTGCTACTTTACTGGCCCCTTGATAATTAGATTAGGCTTTGGGGACGAATATATCCAGTCACTTAGTGCCGTGTGACTCATCACTACATGAAAAAACTTGAAGAAGAACAAACCATAAAATTCAAAGCCCTGTAGTTCATCAATAGCCGGGATCTTGGAGAAGCCGTGTTGGTCCAAAATTGATGCCGTGACTTTCTCGACCTCTACAACAAACTTCCGCTGCTCTTCCGTACTGGGTTAGAAGAAGTTAAGGCTTCGGGTTTAGGCTCTGATGCAGGGTCTTAATAATCAGAATAGGATTTGGGGGTATATTATACTCTAACTATAGTAAGGAACCCCCCGAAACTGAATTCTAATTCGTAAGGCCGGGTTTAGTGGCCCCGGCGCGGAGGTCGAGGTGCCTCCTTTGCGCCGAGTCATTGGTCTTTGCATGCGCAGAACTTTGGGGCAGAAGCGCCCATGTAGAAACGACACACCTAGCCGAGACGCTACAAGATGGAACACCAAGCACCAGACCCGAAGAGGTAAATAGAATCTATATCAAGTTCACGAAGATAGAGGCTCCATTAAACGGCGCTTGGGGGGGGTCCTGGTAAACCCCAATCCAAGGGTAGGGACCCTTAATAAGGACCCCTAGGTATATACCCTTAAGATAGCTATTATATACCCACTATAGGAAAGGGGTTCCCATTAAGGGTCCCTCCTTTTCCCCTTTGACCCAAGGTTTGGAACTTTGAGGCTCAAACCATCGGTGGAGACCACAGGGTTCAGGCTCAGCATGGCCCAAGAACCCTAAACTCGGAAACGCCGGAAGTGAGACGGTTGAGAGTCTAGGGGTTTAGAGGTTGAGGGTTTTAGGGTTTAGGGTTGGGGGGTTCAGAGGTTGAGGGTTTTCGGGTTTAGGGTTTGGGCGGGTCGTTCTACTCTGAGGCTTCCGGCTGGCTTACTTGAAGGATTAGGTGACTTCGACAGTCGGCCTCGCTAAAGGTCAGTTTTTAGTGGGGCCTGCTCGGACATACTGTTGATGATATTAATCCTGGATTTCCTTTAGAGGGATCTACAAGGGTACCTTCAAGGGGTTCCTTTCAGGGATTTATAAGGGTTTAGGGTTTAGGGTTGATGATATAAATCCTGCATTACCCATAATAAGGACTATACCATAATTCCCATAGTTTTGGGTCCTTAAGGTAATGCAGGATTTATATCATCAACAGTAAGGCTGTTATGGTTTCGGCTTAGGACCAGGGCCAGCGGTGTCCTTCTTCTTCTCGCCCTCTTCTTCATCCTCGTCTTCATCGTCTTTGTCTTTCGTCTGGTCCTGCGCTCAGGCGCTTGCGAAACTTGGAGAATGCTGAACCGGATGAACCTCTGCAACACAAGAGGGTTTATGTAAGCTACCAGGTACGAAGCCCTGAAGCCCTGCAATTTTGGAAGGATGATGCCAACGCCGTCGAAAGTCCAGCCAAGGGGTGCTAGGTCATTCCTGGGCGCCTAAATCCCTAAGCCGTTGCTCAAAGCCTTCAACCCTAAACCAGCCATACACACTGTGCAGCTTTACGGGACTCTCGGATTTCAAGGATCCAAACAACCTCCAAGTGTTGCAGGGCCTATGTTTTGGTCGAAGATCGTAGTGTTACAGTGTTTAGGGGCCTTAATAACTAGAATAGGGTTTGGGGACCCATTAAACTAAAGTTATAAGAAGGAACCCCCAAAGTCGTATAGGTAACTATTAAGGCCCCTATAGTTAGTGGTGTTTAAGGTTTAAGGTGTTCGTCGGTGTACCAGAAACCAGGAGAAAGGACTCCTCGGAGCTGCTACATCATAAGCCAATACAGTAGAAGCCCAAAAGTCGGAAACCCAATAAGTAGCCTCGATCTTCAAGAGTATTGTATAGGGTACGCACTATTTGGACTTTTCCGCGTTTCAACTTTATGGGGTTACTGTATATCCGAGACCATCAAGCCGCTAAAAGGGCCTAATTAACCGAGGTCGCAAACCGGTCTCTCCAACCCGTGCGCGAGACAAAACAGCCCACCTCAACCCTAAACCCTAAACACAAAAACCCAAACCCCGGTCATCAATACTCCATCCCGACCCTTAACACTACCCCCAGAGAGAGTCCAGCAACATATACATGTAAATAAGACCTATATATATATATATATATATATATATATATATACATATAATGCTTACGTACACCTATACATATATATATATATATATATATATATATACATACATACATACATATATATATATATACACATATATATACACATGTTTTGATATTGAAATCTCTGCTCATGTAGGGCAACGAATTAACTAGCTACGCAATTGTGTTTGGCGAATGAACGGATTAATAGAATCATCTATAAGTGCAGCTGTTTCTGATGAGGGCTGCAGATTTTCAGAGTTTCGGGGTGTAGAGCTGAGCGGTGTCAGGTAAAGGGTTACGGGAATGTTGCAGTTTGGACGCGCGAGATGGGCTCTGCAGGCCACATCCCTAAACAAGGGACCGTCTCAGCACCAACCCTAAACCCCCTAGGCCCTGAACCGAAAACGCATAAACCCTAAATCCCTACGCGCCCGCCTCAATCATAGCCACATCCCTAAACAAGCGGCCAACTCATCCCCAACCCTAAAACTTTAACCCCCAAACGCGCAAACCCCGTAATCCTAGGTGCCCGCCTCAATCATGGTTCTGGAGTTTGCATGTACCGCTTCCAGCATCACGAGGTCGGGGTTTTTCTTGCCCTCGTGATCCTCCGAATTCATGGCGTAGGAGTTAGGCTTTGGAGATCAAGATTTGGGGCTTAAGATCTAATTCAGGGGCTCTAATTATTTGTCTAAGGTTATGGGGCATAGTAAACCATAACTATAATGAGGAACCCTAGGAAAATAATATTGGTAATTATTTAGGCCCCTATGTTGGCTTTAAAGGTTTGAAGATTCCGGAAACCAGGACTCGATCTCGAAGCTCCCGGGCTGAGGGGACCGAAGAGGTGTTCAGTACAACTTGCCGAGGCTGTACATTGCAACTACGGCTGATGATATAAACCATGCATTACCTGAAGGACCCTAAACTATAAGAATTATGGTATATATTCCTTATTATGGGTAATGCAGATTTATATCATCAACGGTAGTTCATGCTTGGGATAGTATCCAAAACCCTAAACCCTAAACTCTAAACCATAAACCCTAAACCGATCCACAATCCTGTTCCTTATTGGGTTTTAAGTACCCATAGAAATGCAAAATGTTACCAAACTGTGACGAAGGCAATGTAGACTGCTTGGCTGCGGGGTGCTTGGACATCTGGCCCTCGGGCTTCATGTGGATTGCCACTGCGGGTAGCAGCACTTAAAGGGTCATGGGACTTAGTAACTAGGGTTATAACTAAGGTAGCTATAAATTGAACTAACCCCAACTAAGGTACTTATAACCTTACTTACTACGTCCCATGATCCTCCAAGCAGCAGTCGTGCTGTTTAGTACTAGAAGCAGTCGTCGTCGTAGAGCAGCAGCACCAGTAGTAAGGCTAAGTAGAAAAAGCAGCAGTAGTCGTGCCTCGCAGCAGCAGTAGTAAGTACAAGCATAAGTAAACGTAGTAGTAGTGTGAAGAAGGAAAAGAAGTAGCAGTAGTAGTAGTAGTAGTAGTAGTAGTAGTCGTGGTCGCAGTAGTTGTTGCTGTCGTAGTGGCAGGGTAGTCGAGGTGGTAGTGGAGGTGGTAGTGGTGGAGGTGAGATGGTGGTGGCTGGCATGGTGTTTGCTACTGCCGCTGTCGCCGCTGCGGGAGTCAATTATCACTTGGCGTGAGCGGTACAAGTGTAAGAGCTCACTCAACCATCCAACAAGCACTCCCACCCAACCGAAAGCTGCAGAACGGAACGCCACAAGCACAAGCCTCACCTGTGTAAACCCTCAACACTGAACCAACAACTGCAAACTTCGAACGCCAGCCACCCTAAAGCCTCAAACCAACAACCCTAACCTAAGCCGAAAACCTCCTATCCTAAACTCAGAAGCCAGACACGCTGCCCTACCCTAAACCTTACTTTACACCCTTGAACCCTCAATCATGAATCCGAACCCCGCAAGTCTCAGCTATAGCGATGCTGGCCTCTCTCTCCAGCTGTCGCATGCGCTTGTACCTGCCAGGGACGCTGCGGCACAGCGCTACCCAGAGACTCCAATATCCCTGAATTAAGGAATATGCCTTAAATTATAGTAGAATCCCTCATCGAATGTAAGGTATATTCCTTAATTAAGGAATGTTGGAGTCTCTGGGTAGGAGGGAGTGCGGAGTGCTGGAGGCTCTGGAGCATTCGTTCTTCAAAGCTTGCGGGTTGGAGGGTTCAGGGTTTTAAGGTTCAGGGATTAGTACAGGGGCCTTGATGATTAAACTAGGGTTTTGGGGCCCATTATGCTATAACTATATTAAGGAACCCCCAAAATAGTATTGGTACTTATTAAAGCCATTAGACTGTGTGATTTTAGGGTGTTCGGTCTTGTTAAGTTTGCGGGGTCGACCAAGACCCTGAATCAGCGGGGGTTCTGCCACATGGTTTGCCAACCGACCTTTTTGGTTGTCTGAATTTAGTTAGGGCTTAAGGCTTAAGGTTTAGGCTTTAGTTTAGGGCTTAGGCTTTGGTGGGGGTGCCAGGATCCGGCTATGCCGGGTCTTGAAGCTCCCATGTGTGCCGGTCAGGGACTGCTATGCTACAAGAAGCTATCGCTCTTTGCACATATGAATAGATCTAAATACGTATAGGGTTAAGGCGGGTTATGTTATAGAAATTCCTGACATGAAGTTTGATGGATAGGGCCTGCCTTCTTGCCCACTCATGGGTGTCAAATACCTTGGCATTCTCGATCAATGCCTTGTTCTTGGCCAGCTGCGTGGCTGTCTTCTCTGGCTCTGTAGACATGGCGAATGCGATGGTGGAGCCTTCCACCAACTTCACATTGAAGCCTACCAGGGACATGGCCTGTCCCTTAGACCACACATCGTGACATGACAGCATGGACTGGGAGCGATTGTCCGGAGGTGCCGCCATAACTGCTTGCAGCATTTACACGCAGCTGCGTCTTTGGCATACATTGCCATGGCGCCAATCTGACTAAAGCAGATGATCCTCGACGTGCTTCACCCACTGAACCGTATGTCCTTGGGATCAGCAATATCAGGCAGAAGCAACAGTCTAAACGAAAGTACCAAAACAATATTTGGTTTTCAGGAGGGCTCTTAGCAGAGCTCCTCAACGCACAAGGATGGTGCGAGACTTGTTCTTAATCGCAAAGATACCTTCCACTCGCAAAAAACAGACCTGATCTTCCACATCCCATGGATGAACAGATGCAGTGGCAGCAGTCGCTGCTTCTTGAACACTCTTTTGCTTCTGCCCGGTTAGGAGTCGGAATGCAAGATTTTGCTCTGGGGTGGCTTTTGGAGATCAAGCCGACATGGATTCACCACCTACAGCTTCTGTCGGTTTGGGGTTTTAGGGTGCTGTCTGCTCCTCGCTTCGATATGCCGAAGCTCAGCAGCTTCCCACCTCAACATGCTAAATGGGTTTAGGGTCTAGGGTTTAGGGGTTTAGGAACCAGTCTTAGACTTTTTACAAAGAGGCCGCAGGCTTCCAGCCTGACCTGCTGCTTAGCTGCTTTGTATGACGGTTTAAACAAACCTATCCTCTAATGCAGTAATATTACCTGCACTATTACAAGGGCCTCTGCATGTCTGTCTCGCCGAAGAGGATAATGGGCCTTGCAAGGAAAAGCGAGGGGACTCGGAGGCTTCATACTTGGAGGGTCGGGGGATGTAGTAAGTAGGTAGTAAGTAGACTTATATGTACTAAGTAGACTTATATGTAAGTAGGTACTAAGTAGACTTATATGTACCCTAAAAGGGATCCTAATCGGGCTTATGATACGTACAAGTCCTCAAAATAACTACTTCCTAAGCCCCCTGACCCTCCAAGTAGTACCTATTCAGTATACACTCGGCCTTAAAGGGTCCTACGGTTGATGATGATTTCAATCCTGCACTTCCCAGAGAATAAGGAATAATTATACCATAACTCCCGCAGTCTAGGGTCGTTAGGGGAATGCAGGATTTACATCATCAGCCGTATTTAAACACTTTATGACCCAATTACATACTGTCTAGCTACATGGAGTCTTTGGGGGAGCGTCGGTAGGTTGAAATGTCGGGCACCTCGAAGCCTTTATACCCCCCAAAAGCCGTTTGAGCGCCGGGGAGCAATATGAGAGTTTCCGAAACTCAGGGGTACCTTTTTTGGGGGTCCTTAC